ACACCTCCTGTGCAACGCAGATTTGGGCCGTAAACATAGCGTTTAAAGGGGCGATGCAACGATTTATGTATTTTGCGCAAATACCGCTTAGAACAGATCCCTGACGTTAATGACCTGTGAAATACCTGTTGGTTTTTCACCACACGCAATCGAAGTCGCAGAAAAAATAAAGAAAAACGAGGAGGGTTCACCCCCTCAACTCGCAGCCACAACAAGCGGCCTCGTGATCTGGAGCCGATTTTATGCCGCCAATGTTGATCATAGCCATGCGCCGTGGTTGGCAAGGCACAGGACACGCGCTGAGTTCCAGACATTGTTATGGTTCAGCTGTTGTCGTCATTGCAGCGATTGGATACAGGACACTACCCGAATGCTTCTCGAGCTGTCGATTTTCACGAGCCCAAATCGAGTGTCCACGCCATGCTCGAGTCCAATCTATGAGCCGCATTAAAATATCGTCACTGGGCGGTACTGCTACCGCCCAGCTACGTCATCAGGTTTTGCGAAGGAGAGATTGGATGAAAACACTCGGTTTTGTCTTCGAAATTACAGCACAACAAAGGAGTTTCTTGGTCAGTGGTGTTGCGTGCGAGTATCCTTGAGTCCCACTAATGCCAGTAAGCTCGTGTAGAGCGAAAAACATTCCAATTGAATATCGTTGCACCGCCCCTTTAATATATTTCACTGATGAAGCAAGATGCTCTAACTAGAGCAATTACACTTTTACAATAACGACAAAGGTACAGTGCTACTCACACTTGTGTATAACGCAGGAGCGCTCGGCTTTCTCCGGCAAACGCTAGACTGGTGGCATGGGCGGCAGCTAATCCGGTCATTCGGGCAGCATGAAACGGTTCCCTCGAGGGGTGACCTAACCTCGGGCGAGCGCTAGAGCCTGCTCGCGTGCTTCGCGCCCGCTTTGGTTCGGATATCAGCTGCTCGCTGTCGCGCGCATATCAACAGCTCATACGACCCTGATAACAAAAATTATTCGTGTTATTCCCCAGCGAAGATAAAGAAAAAAAAAAATACACGCGCGTATGCGCAGGAGCACCGAAAAGGTACACTCGTTGCTGTCTGCTTCAATTTGCATCCCGGAAGTTGCATAGAGACTAGTGCCAGTTACACCTGTAGCGTCTATTATAATAACTCTATGGATCTAGGTACTTTCAGCCTTCTTTCCAGCTTGAGCGCGTTTCTGGCAGAGGAATGAGTCCCAGTGCAGACATTGTAAGCCAGGAGCAAGGGGAAAGAGGGCTCGGACGACACAAAAACTCCGACACAAACTTGAAGATTTGGCGTTTGACCCCCGTTTTCACCCTTCTTCTGGGTTACTATGTTTACCTCAAATCAGCTCGCCCGTACTCTCGGTGTAGTTTTGACAAACCCAGAGTAGCCCACGCTAATGATATCAAGAATGTCTGAGTAATGATTATGACGCTCATCGGATCTGACTGCTTATCAAGGGCACCCGTCGAGTCCGCTCCTTTAGGCGCCATCAACAATGACGACGAAGTGTTCATCGGTGCAGTTAACTACGACGTCCTGGCGTACCTTCACCGCGACCCGGAACTCCGTGCACTGTGGATTGAAATCGAAGTTCGAGGGAGTGCAGTTTCTCACGTCTTTACCCGAGACCTGTCAAGCTTTGGGACCAGCACCGAAGGGTGGCTACTTTTAATTCTACACCAGTCTTCGAAAAGACATATTTCAAGGCTGCCACCATGACCCCACGGAGAGACACTTGGGCTGCAGCAGAACACTTGCTAGGATTCGCGAGAAGCAATACTATGGTGCCTGGAACGCGTGTCTGACTAGTGTGTTTACCGCGTCCAAAAAAGGTACCCCTCGATTTCCGCCTGGTGACGTCATACAAGTGTCATGCTATCGCCAGTCCCGCTCCTGGCGGCGTCGCAACAGCTGTGGTGTATGTGGCAGATGCCTGTTCTGCTGCAGGTCGCTCTCCAGTGTGGCAGTCCACGGAAGTTTCGACCACAGCTACACTCGCGTTCGGTTGTGCTACCCGCAGCTTCTCGTAATGCGCCATTCACACACTTGCAACCAAGGAGGACCGAGAGAGGCGAGACCGGTTTTCGAGCCACTTGCGACGACGTAAGACCTGGTCCACAGCAGCGCATCCGGTCGTACGCCGTCGATAGAGGCTTAAAAACCGGTCTTATCTCTCTCGGTCGTAGTCGGTTGCAAGAGTGTGAACGGCGCTTTTGCAATTCTAGGACCAACCTCCAGGATCGCGATATGCAGCGGCACGACACTGCGGCTTTTGTGGCGTCATTTGTTGCAACCTCGTTACCATTTTTGATGTATGGGCAGCATAGGACGCTAAGCACACCAGTCTAATACGCGCTCCAGGCACCTTAGTAATACTGGCCCAGGCTTCTGAATACCGTTCATTTCTACACACGATCGCGCTACAATTATGAGCGATGCAAGAAACCGCCGACAATGCCGGCAGGGCTCCTGCTACTCCGGCGACGCCGTTCCAGCAGCTCGGGATGGAATTGCTTGGTCCCTTTCCACCGACGGCAGGTTGTGCAGTCTGGCTAAAAGAAAAGGGGGTATTTATTCCCTGGGCGGAGAACTGTTTGTTATGTAAATCCCCAGAGACTGTCGAACATATCTTTATCGACTGCTGGGATGCGATTTTTTTCCGGGAGGTCTTGCAACGAACCTTAAAGAAAGATCTTGCAATTTCAGCGCATTCAATTCGATTTCTGCCTACCATGCCGGGCAAAATTGTACCATATGGTCTCATCATGCTCTTGGGCTTACACAGCACATTTAGGTCCCGAATGGATGTAAGAAACGCTATTCCTGCACCATAAACTGTACGATTGCATTTTATTCAATTAGTAGCGCAAGTCAAAAGTGTATATGATGGCTGTGAAACAGTGCCCGGCTACTGCCGGTACTTGATAGCTTGCTGAAAATGAAGGAATTTTTATGTGACGCCGCGGCAAATGTTATTTTGTGCTACATTGGGGTGTAATGTGATGTTCACGTTCAAAGTTTTCATGTAATAAAAAAAAAGTAAGGCCGCTTGCGTGTGCGGTGCTCGAGTGTGCACCGCACCTGGCTGCCACGCAAAGGTTCCCGGTTCGAACCCCTGAACCGGATGCGGTTTTTTATGAACTCGTAAAATCCCTGGTTCTAGAAAATTGTAGAACGTTGTTTTCTGTTCCAGGACACAATGTCCTAGGGCCGGATATCAAGTCGGAATGTTCCCAAGGTGCGCCGCGTGGCTTACGGAGTCAGTCTATTGCCAGCGCTCGACCCTGCTGTTACGCCTACGTTCGACGCCTGCGACGCTCGTTCTTCTATTTTGAGTTTTGGCACAAGTTCTCCCCAGTAAACATTTCTTTTCCTCAGTTTATCTCCACCTCGTCACCTTTTATGCGTGACAGTATCAAGGTTCCAGACTTTACTTTGTATCGAGAATCAATAATCTTACATTCTTTGACCTGTCTCGATACAAAGAAGTCCGCGCGGGCCCGACATGATACCTTGAAAAGACTGAGTGCGGAGGCGAGCTGGTGGTAGCTAATAATGTCGTTTCACACATGTGACTATGGTGCAGAAAGGGAGAAACATTTATTTGAAGGAGCAGACACACAAGGGAACGTCTCAAACTCAGCTCAAAAGAGACGTTCTCTGTATCTGTTCCTTCGACAAAAAGTTTTCCCCTTCAGCAGAGTGTCCGGTGTTAAACCACATGATTAGGATACCGTATAGCTTCCTGTGCAGATACAGCAAGCTCTGCTCCCAATTTTGAAGATGTCAAATTTTTGCTACTAGTATTGCTTCGTGTGATTGGAATAATGGCAAAGAAGTTCCGCTTCACCGATCTTGTAGCACTTAATGTGCATAGTTACGGACATGTTTTATTGTTATCCTGAAATGGAAAGGCACTTGAGCACTTCTTGGGCAAGCACCTGACGGTCTTTCTAAAAAAAACAGTTTAGTCTACAGAGGACAATCCGGTTTCAGGAGCGCGTGACTTATCTACAGTCACACAAATTCTACGTCCAGTCTACGTTCCGGTGAGAGTAGTCGATCATTGTGGTCAATCTAAAGTTTTTGCATCTAGATTTTGTAAAAACGTTCGGCCGCGTGTAACATCCCAAGCTCTTACACAAGTTAAAATAATGAATGTGAACATAGCATCATGATTTTACTCGTACTTTAGTAATCGCAGCCAGTTCGTAAGCATCAGATATAAGAAAAAGCGTGCTTTTTCTGTTGCGTACCTCATGTGTCCGTGATTTTACTGAAACTCCCCCCCCCCCCCCCCCCCCTGCTGTTCCCATCCTGTGATTGACTATGGTAACTTTGGTTAGTACGAAGGCCAGCCCAGCCGGATCCCCGTCGCGGCCCACGGCGGCCGCTACCCGCAAGACGGCACGACACGCCGCTACCAGAAGCTGCTTTACGCGGTCGCTGACTCTTAACAGCGAGAATGACAAACGTACAATAATTAATCTAACGGCGAATCCTGTAGCTATTCATATTGTCGTCATTTGTTTGTGAAAACTGACGAGGAATGTGCATTCGATCTGTATTAAATAAATCATTATCCACGGATTAATGGGAACAACGATCGGCGGCACCTGTTGCACGGTAAGATTAGTAGGGCGGAAATCGGCTGGGTTTCCGGACTACGACACATAAGAGACGTGGTAATAGCCACGGAAGTGAAATGTATTTGCTCTGGGACAAGTTTGAGTTTCTGAAGTTTAAAGCAGACGTCGCCTAGTCAATACTATTTGTAAACAAGGGCACAATTTGGTAAAAGTCGTTTTTCAGCGAATTGTGGAAGTTTTATTAAAATCGGTTCGTATTATTCGGAAGCACCGCCGACAAAATTGTAAAGAAATATATTGCTGGCTCTTTATAAAGCAAATTTAATCTGATCAAAGTCTTTGGTTCGTTCAGTCAATTAGATTATGATCTTTTGAGACGAGCGCTGGGCTCTTTGAATGCAGGATGGTGCGAGCCTTCAAGGCCGATCAGCTGCTCCTGGCCTCTGCGATCATCCTGTCCGCCGTCCAGCTCACGTTTCCTTGCAAATACAAGCGGGTAAGGTACAACGCCAGCCGTCTCTGTGAGCCAGGTAGCCCCAATCGTACACGCTCCTCTACTTTTTTTTTAGAGCGCAGCTCTTAGGCGCCCGTTTCCGGCTTGAGCGGCGTCGGCGTCGCCGTCGGCGTAACCGCGCGGTGCATTATGGGTAAATTCTCCCGAAGGAACCCGAGGTCCTCCCGAGGTCCTCCCGGAGGAACCCGAGGTCCTTCGGGAGGGCCTCGGGTTCCTTCGGGAGGACCTCGGGCTCCTTCGGGAGGACCTCGGGAGGACCTCGGATTCCTTGGGGAGGACCTAGGGGTGTCAAGTGACGATGACGTCATCAGTGATGATGACGATGACAATGCGGATGCCGATGACGTCATCAGTGACGTCACTGATGACGTCATCAGTGATGATGACGATGGCGATGCAGATGCCAATGACTTCATCGGCATCCGCATCGTCATCATCACTGATGACGTCGTCGTCACGTGACCCCCCCAGGACCTCAAGTTCCTTTGGGAGGACCTCGGAAGGACCTCGGGTTTCTTCGGGAGGACCTCGGAAGGACCTCGGGTTCCTTCGGGAGGACCTCGGAAGGGCCTCGGGTTCCTTCGGGAGGACCTCGGGAGGACCTCGGGCTCTTTCGGGAGGACCTCGGGAGGACCTGGGGTTCCTTTGGGAGGACCTAGGGGGGTCACGTAATGATGACGTCATCAGTGATGATGCCGATGACGATGCGGATGCCGATGACGTCATCAGTGACGTCACTGATGACGTCATCAGTGATGATGATGATGGCGATGCGGATGCCAATGACTTCATCGGCATCCGCATCGTCATCGTTATCATCACTGATGACGGCATCGTTACGTGACCCCCCCAGGACCTCGGGTTCCTTCGGGAGGACCTCGGAAGGATCTCGGGTTTCTTCGGGAGGACCTCGGAAGGACCTCGGGTTCCTTCGGGAGGACCTCAAAAGGACCTCGGGTTCCTTCGGGAGGACCTCGGGAGGACCTCGGGCTCCTTCGGGAGGACCTCGGGTTCCTTCGGGAGGACCTAGGGGGGGGGGTCACGTGACCTGGGGGTCACGTGACGATGACGCCATCAGTGATGATGACGATGACGATACCGATGACGTCATCAGTGACGTCACTGATGACGTCATGAGTGATGATGACGATGCGGATGCCGATGACGTAATCGTCATCCGCATCGTCATCGTCATCATCACTGATGACGTCATCGTCACGTGACCCCTCCCCCCGAGGTCACGCAATCTCCCAGGTCACGTGACCCCCCCCCCCCTTCCGAGGTCAACTGACCCCCCAGTACCCTTCCCTCCTCCTCCTCAAGAGCTGTGCTCAAATTCGGCGTTACAGGGAGTTGTAAACGGCTTTCATTTTTTAGAGTGCAGCTCTTAGGCGCCCGTTTCCGGCTTGAGCGGCGTCGGCGTCGCCGTCGCCGTCGCCGTCGGCGTAACCGCGCGGTGCATTATGGGTAAATTTCCCCGCTAAATCTAGCGGAAAAATTTCCCCGCTAAATCTAGCGGAAAAATTTCCCCGCTAAATCTAGCGGAAAAATTTCCCCGCTAATCTAGCGGAATAATTTCCCCGCTAAATCTAGCGGAAAAATTTCCCCGCTAAATCTAGCGGAATAATTTCCCCTCTATAGCACGAAAATTTCCCCGCTAAATCTAGCGGAATAATTTCCCTGCTAAATCTAGCGGAAACATTTCCCCGCTAAATCCAGCGGAAAAATTTCCCCGCTAAATCTAGCGGAATATTTTCCCCGCTAAATCTAGCGGAAAAATTTCCGCGCTAAATCCAGCGGAAAAATTTTCCCGCTAAATCTAGCGGAATATTTCCCCCGCTAAATCTAGCGAAAAAATTTCCCCGCTAAATCTAGCGGAAAAATTTCCCCGCTAAATCTAGCGGAAAACTTTCCCCGCTAAATCTAGCGGAAAAATTTTCCCGCTAAATCTAACTGAATAATTTCCCCGCTATATCTAGCGGAAAAATTTCCCCGCTAATCTAGCGGAATAATTTTCCCGCTAAATCTAGCGGAAAAATTTCCCCGCTAAATCTAGCGGAATAATTTCCCCGCTATATCTAGCGGAAAAATTTCCCGCTAAATCTAGCGGAATAATTTCCCTGCTAAATCTAGCGGAAACATTTTCCCCAAATCCAGCGGAAAAATTTCCCCGCTAAATCTAGCGGAAACATTTCCCCGCTAAATCTAGCGAAAAAATTTCCCCGCTAAATCTAGCGGAAAATATTCTCTTCAGGTCAGGTGATCCCCGAGGTCACGTGACCCCCACGTGACCTTGGCGAGGGGGTCATGTGACCCCTCCAAGGTCACGTGACCACCCCTCCCCCCGATAACACGTGAACCTCAGTACCCTTCCCTCCTCCTCCTCAAGAGCTGCGCTCTAATTCGGCGTTGCGGGGAGTTGTAAACGGCTTTCATTTTTTTTTAGTAATGGGTTAGCATTAGTACCTCCATGAAAGCTAAGAGCTGACGTCGTTCGTCTGCGGACAAAGTAGTGTAAAGGTAAGCGCGCCGCGTAGAGGGGAGGAGAACAGTGAAGGGCAAAAACGAGAGGGAGGTGACGTCACGGGGCGGAAGCCAATGCGCGTGCTGCGAGGCGAGAGGGAGGCGACGTCACGGGGCGAAAACCAATGCGCGCACGGGAAACCGGTGAGCAGCGAAAACAGCGTCCGGCAGCGGATGCCGCTGCTAAGCGTAAAAGACGGGCGAACGAGACAAAGGAGCGGAAGCAGCGCCTATCTCGGCTGACCGAAATGCGGCTCAAGAAGCGGCAAGCCGACGCTGGTCTGCGTGTGACAGAGGCTGGGCGGCTGGGGCGAGCGGGCTCAATCAGGTCGCTTCGCCGGAAAATTAAAGGAAGTTCAAAATGGTGAATCTTTAGGGAATGCGTTAGCATGACCTCTGGGAAACGCCACACACGTCCCCCTTTGGGAAACGCTCACAAACTGATCTATTGGAAATACACAATTTTTTCTTAATTTTCTTCCAAGAACGTACATTCAAATAATTTGAGTACGATGAATGCGCCAGCTAAAAATACATTTGTGAAAAGTTTAATTGCATTCGACTCATTGGCTTATCTGTACGATTTGGTAGAACGCTGCTATCTTTCTGGATGCCCACACTGGCAGGAGGTCGATTTTCTTTCCAGTCATAACAGTTGTTATAATGGTGATATTCTTACCCATTAAAAAGGAAGATGCAATGTTTATGCGAGGTGTTTTTGGTTTATGACGCTTTTATCGACCATGGTGTTAGACGCACACGGAGCAGAGCTTGAGGTCAGCCTTGTCCCGGTAATCGGTGCTCAAGTACGAACAGTTAGTAAAGGCCACCGTGGTAGAGGCAAACCTAGCTAGCTTTGCGTTAACCCACAAGTTGGCGCAAAAAAAAAAAAAAAAAAAAAATGTCGAGCTCAAAATTATAATGTCGTGGGTTGAATTCCCTTTTGGGAGCGTTTAGAATTTTGTTTGTTTCTTCACAATAGACCCTTACGAAATTCAGTCTGGCCACTTTGATCACTATCATCATCTGAGGAATGATGTATGTGTCGTACTAATGGCAGCCTTCTGGTTACTGATGTTAGAATTAGTTGAAGATGCACCGAAGCGGATGATTCGAAGCCGATACATTCGAGACGTTAGTACGATGCGACGCAGGAATTGAATACAGGAGCTGCGTAAGCGTTCATTTCTAACACGGGTCCAGTCAATCTGTTGGCGGCACATAATTGGCTTTCCAGCCCCTTGATGTATCAAATGTTATCACGGCTTCAAAGTGGGTCGGTGCCTCGTTTTTGTCGCTTGCATATTTTTCGCCATTGAAACTGAGATATCCAGAAAGAATTGTAAGGCAAAAACACACATTCCCGACTGCTGTTGACTGGCGAAATTGATGGAGTCGGCAAAATGCCACAGAGTGCAGGTCGACTACTGTCATTAGTACGCTAAAGGTTAAACTGCTATTGGAGCCACCAGATTGCAGTGAATTTCGAAAAGTGTCTATTTATCACTGTTTTGTACAGGTCGTGCTTTGAAGTATTTCGTAACGGTTTCCATGGTGTTTCGTCCTCTTTCCTCGGGGGTTCTAGCCCTTAAACATATTTCGCGCTTACAAAAAACGAGCTTACACATACACACAAAAAGAAGAAGAAAAATGCTCGTTTATCCTGACCCGACTGATGAAGTCGATATGCACATAATATCTAAATAAGAGTGGGTGTGCAGGACGGTAGGCAGGAACGTTTATTTCACTTTTTTTTTTTGCATTAAGAAATGCTGCGGTGAAAGGGTTTAGGGTACAGGAGCGGGGGACAGGGGGCTTCCATTCTTCTCTGTTAGCCCGGTTGGTGCGACGGCGTCAGAGGATAGATGTACGGTAGGTTCAGGCCTGGTGTTTCGCCTGGGCTCAGTGGTGGAGAGCTGAATGCCTTGAAGCCGCGTGCCGACAGGGGGAGCTGCAGGGTCCTGGATTTACGCGAGCAGCGATCGCCAGAGTTCGATAGCGGTCTCTTTGGGGAAGGAGGAGTCCGGGCAGGCCCAGGCATGCAGCGAGGTAGGCCTGAAACTCTGCTGGATGGTAGCCAAGCCGCGGGTTCGGGGCTCCGAGTATAGCGGGCAGTCCCAGAGCAGGTGCTCCAGATCAGCGTTTTGATGGCACATTGCGCATGCACCTGGAAGGACGGCTCGTGATAATGAATCATATTGTAACACCTGAGGCTGTGGTGAGGGAAAATGAGAAAACTGTCAAGGCAAAGAAAAAGATAGCAGTAGGAAGGCGCCTCAAGCACAGCTAATATAGATAATCTTTCTTGCTTCTTAGATACGCCCGATGCTGGCGTCACCGACCTTTTCACAAATACACTCTGTTGACACAACCGAGTTACGTCTTAACACGAAGAGCTTGCTACCTGTTGACTCATTGATCTAAGCTGAACAACCTTTTCTCACAACAGATGTACCTTAAACTCGTCAAGGTTCATTCAGGACAACAAGTCATTGTACGTCTGGGTCTGGATAAAAACCACTCTTCCGGATTCCAGTTTGAACCATACCATCTGTGGCTCTAGAGACGGTTTTTTTCTGTAACAGTGAAAGCTATGAACCATAGAGATTTCATAAAATAGGGAAAGGATATAGGATATTGTTGGAGCTTCTATATTAATTTACCACTCTTCCCCACGCAGCCGTGGGGTAGCGCGATTAGATAGGGTGGGATCAAAAAACAAGCTTCCCAGCTGATGAAGACTACAGCCAGGAGTTCAGTCACTTCAAGGTATAAGCGTTTATCGAAGCAGCACTTGTTTGGAAGTTTTGTCGTGGAACATATCAGTATTGCCAATGGCAAAGGCGCCACTGCCAAACCCAGCTGAAGAAATACTATTTAATACAATCGCATTCTTTTGAATGTAGCGCACGTTTATACTGGGGTAATATTTATTTTTAATTTTGAAAGATAGAAAACACTGCAAAATTAACCTCCCAATTTCGGAGAATTGGGAATCCAACCGTTAACTTCCTAGGTTTCAATATTCTCTACCCTATTTTTTTCCAATCTTTCTATATAAAATCTGAGTTATGCAATCTTCCGTTAAGCTATAATTTTTTTTTAAGGAGCTGAATCGTCCTCCGAATGCTTGATTCCCGCGATTTTGTTTACACATACCTACATGCAAGACTTAAAATTTGTCTGGTTCCGACGCCATCGAAACGAAGCTTTATTTTAGTACGCATCCACGAGCTTAAATTGTTTATTCTGAGCTCTAGTTGGACAAAGCAGAAGGCTCATTTGACGGTCCCTGAAAGAACTGACCCAGCCCGTGGTTGTCGCGCAGGTGCTGGGCCACATGCACCTGGTGACGCGCCTCGCCAAACGCGAGTTGCAGAGCCTGAGCAGCATCCTGATGGCCGTGCTGTCTAGCGAGGCTGGCCCGGCGACAGAGTAGGACCACGCCTTGGGCCCTGAGACTTCCATTTTTCCCGCAGCGTCAGCGACGCCCGAAACACGGCCGGGCGGTCGCCCCACATCGTCTGAACCAGTGGTTCTCAAAGGGGGGTCCGCGGACCCTTTGGGGTCCGCGAATGCATTCTAGGGTTTCGCAAAGCCGTGCCTCATCATTGAAGCCCGGCAATAAAGGTTCTCTTTTATTCAGATTGAGAAGAACTGTTCCACTTTTCGTGTAGGTTTTTTTTGTGTGTATGTCAATGAAAGAAGTCTACTTCGCCTACCCCTTAGTTATATCCATTTACTAAATAATAATCATAATTAACCTATACGTTCCCTTTGCCCTCACCACGAGGGCAAAAAATTCGGGGGTTATAAAAAGTTTATTTCGGTTAGATTCCATATTCTTTGAAATTCGGAGTTTAATTTTACTGTGTTCCTAATTTTTCAAGTCTAATACGAAGGATAAATATACATTCCGAAAAAATGAACATATCTTAAATTGATGAAAACTATCCGGTATTGAAAGACATTTCTACAGCGGCATTTGGCAAAAGACGCCCTTGTGATCGGTAGTACTGTTTGTCCCATGACAAATCTTGCAAACGAGTGTTGCTTTAGTAAACAGCAGTACTTTGAAATAGCCAAAATTTTGAACGTAGTCGATGGGAAGCATACAAGTTTCAGCTGCCCTTCTATAAAATATATGGGTATTAAAAAAAAAAAGAACACATTAACTAAAGAGGCACAAGTAGTATGGTCGAAACTGGAAATCGGAAGTAACTTTTGTCGTGGCCCAGAAGTGCATTGTCTAGTCTTGTGCGAATAGTGGATTTTGAGTTCGAAGCGAATTCGAAGCGAATACTGGTTTTGGCCGAATATTTTCGATTCGAATATCGAATAGTTTTTCATGCCTTTCACTACCATTGCATAATGCTTAGACGAAAACCCAGCTAACTTGTGAAGGTTGTTCCACTTGTTCATTTATAAGATAAGTTTATCTATATTTTGTAACTGTGTCTTCATAAGGTCTGATGTCTTGGGATGGCAAGTAAACAACGAATTTGACATAAAATGAATCCCATAGAGAGGGCCAACTATACCCAATGGAGTGAATTTACAAAGTTTGCTATATAAAATATGCCTTCTTTAATCTCGAGTTAAAAAATAAATAATTGCACATATTGAACGCAGGTTGTAAGGGCATCTCTGCCTAATATAGTCACTCTTGCATAACAATCAGTTTAATTTTGAAACTTTTACTACAATGTAGATATACACATTCACAAAGTTTCTATTTATTCCCAAATACAGCCGACACGCGTGCACCATCCCGCTTTGAATGTATGCTTTTCTTCCAAGAACTCAATTGCGGTATTCATACTTTTCTAAGCGTTTATCACGGCGGGTTACTCCGTTAAGTGCGCTTCTTACCGAGCACTGATGTAATGCGGAGAAGCAACACCCGCGGAGCTCGCTTCCGCGGGTATTGCTTCTCCGCTATGCACCGGTGCTCGGAAAGAAGAGCAGTAAACGGGGCTAACTCATTGCAATCAACACTTCGAAAAACGCGAATAGTGCAGTTCTTCTCGAAGCGAATATCGAATAGTCTATCATTCGAAACTAATATTCGAAATTTCAAATATTCGCACAAGCCTAGCATTGTCCCATTGGACAGTATGAAACTTGGCGAGATAGACGGGAAGATCTATTTTGTAAATACCCCTAGATAAAAAAAGGATCTTTTCAGTAATGCTAACCCGGTGCTCGACACACTTTAATAAAATACCGCCTTTTTTGTTTTTTATTTTCTTATTGTGATCTCTAAATTTTGAGTTTTTCGGATTAAGCTGAATGTAGCAACATTTCATCGGCGAGTGTTTTTCGAATTTGTTTTCCAGATTTATCCGAAAACACGGAACCCTATTTGATATAAAACACGTGGACTGTGCCTTCTTTCGTTGGAACACTATCCTGGCGGCAGCCGAATAACGTCTTCGTGACGTAGCGCTCAATGGAACGACCCGACCAGGGGAGGTCACTCGTTTGAGGCCGCGGCAGGACCGTGGGCACCGCGATTTCTGCAGCCGCCTATGCGCCGCACTGCGAAGGAAGTAGCGGAACGCGTAGATCTCAAGCAAAATTGCTTCGTTGTTCCTGGTCCCACAGCGATTTACGCCTTGGGCGAACGGCTTCCCCTGGGGGGCTATGTTGCGCTTTTTGGACTCCCAGGAGACTTGGAAGAGGGAAGTGACGTCAACGACTAGAGCAAACGCAGATTGGATGTTGACAAAAGAAAACGAAATCAACACCCAATCTGCGTTTGCTGTGTCGTTGACGTCACTTCCCTCTCCCTAGTCTCCTGGGAGTCCAAAAAGCGCAACATAGCCCCCCTGCTCCAATACCGCAAACTCTCGCAGCGTCTGGCATACAACCTTGCCTCGAGACTGATTTGCGGCGGGTCCTTATCGGCCCCCAAACGTCGGATGGCGTACTCTGCCGTGAGCGAGTACTTTTCTACAACTGTAGGGTTCAACTATATTTTGAAAGTGAGGGGTATTCACTGCAAATGTGAACATAAACTAAAGTTGTCATAAATGGGCTGTACCACCCTACCATGAGCTGCCATTAAAACTCGGTTAAGTAAACAAGCAAGCTTGCCCGGCTCGATCTGTTTCATTTAGTGCTACGTAATGGAGCAGGTCTGTGAGATCAATGATATCATACACGTTTCGCGTGTTTAGTATACGTTTGATGAACACTGCATGTTCGTGGTGTCATATCTTCGTCTGGTGCACCGTTCCTCAACTATATCCCCGGCGTGAAAAACGAGGCGGATAGGTAGATAATTATGCTTTAATGTTTCTTTCGCCTCCCGTTTGGGCCAGTGCGCGGCGGAATTCCAATATCAAAGATGTGACTCGGCTCCTGCAGGTCTTGCGCGCGTGGGTCAAGAAATCATTCAGCATTTTGCGTTTTTCCGGGCAGCGTAGCTTGTGTGAGGGTGCAAATGATGTGTGTATGTACAGATGCGAGAGCTCTTCAGAAAGGGAAGTCTTGACCGTGCCGCTTCAGGTAATCCTGAGCCATTTGCTCGAACGCCTGCAAGAAAAGAGCAACAGTACAGAAGGGTCAGAAAAAGACAAGAACGCCCCCGTTGCCTGCGGTCTTTTTGAATCAGTTAGCCGTTGTAGGTTACCGATAAAAACGTGGGATTGGACTCCGATCGCTACTTGCATCCCAGAGGTTGTTTCGCGGTAACATAAAAAGAAAAAAGTTTGTGCGACGATGCAATATTATCATCATCCGTTGTCGTCGCCAATCGTGCGTGGAACGCGTCTTCGACAGGCGTGTTCGGCGTACCGTACCGCCCACACACCGAATGAGGTCGCGACGTGCCAACGAATTACGTCACAGGAGACGGCACGCCATGCTGTGCGATGTCTCTTACCACGCGAAGTAATCGTGGAAATTCCGGCCAAAAAAAAAAAAGCTTGCGCGACCTACGGCAGAACAGACGTCTATGACGAGTCCATCTTCTCTGCTGTTAAACTTTGGACACGGCGCACAGTTGGAGACGCATTCCAGGCACCATACGAATGGCAACGACTACTCTGCGCCATTGGTCAAGCAGTTTTGATACGATGGGAGAGCGTTTTGTCGGAGAGATCGGTCTTATCCTCAGTGTCCTTCTCTGGAGCGCGGCTTATACTGGCAAAGGTCGACTGACTTTGGAAGAGACTGAAAGCCCAAGAACCATCCCAGGGAACTTCTGCAACCGCGTAAGCTGCTCTTTCGTCTTTTGATGTAACGATGTGATGAAGGCGCCAACGTCTTTTTTATTAACAAAGTACAATGCACCTATCCCAGTCAGGTCAAACAGAGGCGGCGCATCCAGCGGGCTCATTTTCCAAAGTTTTGTTATAAAATATGAATGTCGCTGCTTTTCTGTTGCGTGAGGTACTTGAGCCCCTCAGTCTCGCGATGCTGCTTTTTGCTGAGCTAGTCAATTAGCAATTTTGCTTGCGACGAGAAACATGTAACGGCAAAATTCAAGGACATTGTTATAACTTCTCATGTCGACCTAGGGAAGAGCAACAACAGCGGTGATATTTCTAAGCTGGGGAGAGAGGAAATGAAAAGTTTCCTAGCGAAGAGTTGACTACCGCTTGGTACTTCTAGAAGGTCTACGGTTTTCGAGATTTCCCTCTAACAAAGACTCCCCCAGTTTTTATTGCGACAAGTAGCATGGGATATTAGCAACACCATGCCGCCACTAACGGAAAGCAGGGAGAGCATATACAAGAGCAGCGGTAAGTTAACTAGAATATTTTAATCGTTTCCTTTTTTGTCCCGAAAGAACTTGAGGAATTGCGAGAACTGTGCTCCTGTCCGCCTAGTGTTGCGATGGCTGTCGCACGCAGACCTCGTGTTTAATCTGTTCCCAGCGTCTCCGCTAAGTTAGGTTACAACATTACGGCCTCGCTATGGGGGGCTTGTCCGCGTTTCGAACATCACGGCACTGGATCTGCCGGACTCCTCCGCGTAGTGGAAGCCAGTGATGCCACTCGCCTCGATCTCCGCCAGGATGTCTGGGTCGACCTCGTAGCGCAGGGGTGCTTCGACCGGATCGACGACCAGAGCCCCTCCACTGTCCAGGCTGTGCGCGTCTTCTGAGCCGTAGCTGTCTCCGCCGCTGTCCAGGGAGGCTGGTGGCACCTCCTCTGGCGCCTGCAACTGCGCAGATAATTTTGCAGCTGCATTTAACACTGGCGCCATTGGGATTAGCAGTACTAACTGTCCCATGACAAACCTTGAAAGCAAGTGTTACTTCAATAAATGTCGGTAGTTCAAAATAGCGAAACTCCTGGGCGCACGAAATAGTCCAACTCTTGGGCCTACTAGCTATAGCGGAAGCCGACCGGCAGCAGACGTGCCTTCAAACACAGACGCACATAACCACAGCATAACAAATGTGGCAAAATCATAACCTTACAAACATTTTCCAAACATTGCAGCAGTCGGAATAAAGCAGAACTGAAATCAGAAGAGGAATTTCGGAGCCTCCATCCCTAGCCGAAAGAAAAAGTGATTGCGAATAAAACAAGTTAACAGACGCGGTACAAATGCCTTAGCGTTCAAAGAAACAAAATCACGGGTATTGGACGACTCACGTTTGTGAGCAACGAAGTGGCTGATGAAGGGTTCGAATCATACGAAACAAAGCAATAATAAAAGTAAACAGCCCGACGGCTCTAACATGGGGTGCGCGCAGAAAGAGTTAGAAAGAAGGAAGACAAGCACAAGGGAAGACGAAAGAAAAGACTGCAGCACAGCGGCTTCTGAAAAAAAGTAAAGTAAAATTACAAAGGCGGACTCAGCATCGCAACTGTACTCCGTGTGCTGGCACTTATTGTGCGCAAAGAAAGTTATCCATCGACTGAATGTGTACAGTGACCCAAATTTTAATAATATCGAGCAGTGCTGCGGAGTTGCCACTCGGGAGTTAGAATGACTCTAGAATCATTCCGCATTTTCGCGACCCCGGAATGGAATGGAATGGGAACGGAATGACGGCAACGTTGAGGGCAATGTACTGGGAATGGAAATAGATGCCTTTTGCCAGGAATAGAATGAAAATGGAATAAGCGAAATTCTTTTTTTTTAGTGCTTACGGTTAGTTAAATTGAGCCAGTCAGCGAGTCAGTTGCTCAGAAATAAAATGAGCGGAAAACTGCTAGCCCGAGTGGAGTCCTAACATACTTATACGCCAAAAAATTGCAATACAAAACTCAAGCGTCAAAGCAAAGGGGAAAGGGGGGGGGAGGCGGGTGGCGCCTTTCACGGATGCGCAGGCGACGGGTTTCACTGGCGTTACACGAGAGCAAAACAAGAAACCAAGCACCAAGCAAAAGAAACGAAGGGAGCGGCAAAGAAAGAAACCGCCGTGCACGGCTCCTCATGTCCTTCTTGTCTTGTTTATTTTTTTTTTTTTATATATATATGACGGCATAAAGATTGCACGCGCGCACAGCTTGAGATCTGGGAGCGAAAGCGACTCACAACTCGCAGAGCTCTGCTAACTTGTTGACTCGCGCGCCGCCGAAAGATGATCAGTTATTGTTTTCTAATAGTTCGAAGATCGTTGTTTAGCAGGCAGCCAACCCTGCTGCCTTCCACGTTCATTCACGCGCACTCCTTTGAAGTGCGAAATGTTGGTTTTCTTGGGCATTAAAACAAAGCGAGATTCACTTCTCTCTTCTCTTCTTGCGCTTTGCTCCGAGGCTTGTTTTTTATACTGCATTTGTAGTGTAAGTCCGCCTTTTACTTGGCCTTTGTTCCGATGCTTGTTTTCTGTGTTATATGTTTTACATTCATGTAGGTTAGGGTTAGAAGCAAGCTAGCGAATTCCCGCTCATTTTCTTTGACTTTAGTCTCTGCATACTTTGTTTCACCTTGCAATGGACCGCTGCTGAGTGTCACGCGACACTCAGAAGGCACTGTATTGGTTTCGATGACTCTCATGCTGTCTGCTGCGGTCCAACGTAAGGTGAAGTAGACTATCGTCACCGCTCTTGTCGCCTGACCGAACTGACCAGACCTGCAGAAAGACCGTACCTCGCCAGACGAGCTACAATCCGCAACTGAGGAGAGCTTGGTGCTAGCTGGTACTGAGGTTTTGGCTTCCGCGCATCTTGGCTGTCCGGTCTACATTCGTGCTCCTTGTCCTCGACCCTGTTCGACGCAATGAGAAGTCAGTTGGACGGGGGTGTTGGGGAGACACGGGAATTGTCAATTTGAACGGTGCGGTACTACCCCGTTAATTGTTTCTCGGTGTGAAACTATCTTTGTCGGCGCTGACCGCGCGACCCGTTGCCACAACGCAAACAACCGACACGGAGGTAAGAATGAATCGGTTGGTACCGCCTGCTGCCTGAACCCGCCGCTCGATCAGCGCGAAGAGGAACATCACATTTCGGACAAGACAAGAAAAATACAGATCGAGATAGCATCATTGAAGACATTTTTCGACATTAGTCGCGAAGAAAATAAACAAGCTTCACGCTGCAAGTTGTGCAACGAAACTATATACACGGTGCACTCGGCGTTTATCATCGAACTTTATTCGCCATCTGAAGAGGAAACACGAGAATGAGTATGCGAAGGGTGGAAAAAGGGAGGCGAACCAGCCAAAATCGAATTGAATATGATAAGAAATATCTAGATTCGTAAAGCAAGCGCGAACTTGTGCGTTTGAAAACAGGTTTCGTGACATGGTCTATACGATCCCTCGTGCTGCGCCGTAGAGGTTGCACTTTGTCAGAGGAAGTGTTTTTGCCGCTGTGCATAGAGTCGCTTCCAGCAGCGTACTAGCCGTGTTGCTGTGCAGGTATTTGGAGAATACACCTATATTTCTGCGCCACGTACGAACTGGATATTTTTATGGTCTTATCAAACAAACACGCTGGCCGCGTATATCCTAAAAGTTAAATAGAAAAAAGATTTAGAAAAAGAAAATGAGTGGATCTGAGTTTTGCTGTTTGTTGAGAGCCACGTGGTCGCGAAATCGATGTCTTAGACAAGCATCGACATATCAAGGGGCTTTCTCGATGTTTGCAGTACAAGGTAAATAAAAACTTTGTGCCGCTAGCGCTCCGCTTAGTAAAATCATTAATTTTTTGAAGCATTTAGCTTTTTTTTTTTTTTGCAATTGTCTCTGCATTTGATAATGTCAGCTTTAAGCTGCTTATGCCGGCAACACAATGTAGCTGTCAAGTGCCAATTTTTACGTTTAGGAATTAGAGGAGTGGAATGGAACGATTCAGCCATTACAAAAGTGGGAATGGCACCAGTGTCCCCATTTCTAGGAGTTGAAAGGAATTGAATTATCGAAAACTCAAATAGACTTATTGTTATATTACCCAAGCATCAAGGAGAATGCAGGGATTGGTGTTCCACCCGCCGCGCGTGCTGGCCTCAGCAGTAGTAACTTTTCTAAGGCAAATACCTAAAACAAATGGCATCTTGCCATTTGTTCGTCAACGCTTTATTTTGGTTATTTACTTCGAATCTTTTATACGGGAAAGGCGTGGGCGTGCGGCGCGTGGAAAACACCAATCCCTGCATCCTCCATGATGCTTGGGTAATATGGCAAATGGCCTATTCCCGTAATGGAATTGGAATGGAATGGGGGTGCCCATTCCAGCAACACTGATACGGCGCCGGGCCGACCAGCGCCGTGTCACGGAGGGGTGCGGCGATATGGGAGAAATCAGGCGCGTGCGCACAAAGCTCTTTCCGGTGCGAGCGTCGTCTGTATAAGCTATTCCGTTGACCGCACACAGCCTCTGCTCCAGACTTGTACCTATCGCAAATACTCTACTCAAGATACTGTATTTCAAATACTTTTTGAAGTATCTTGGTATCTTGCAAATACTTTTGATCGAGAATATTTGATACTCTATCTTAATTACATTTCTGAGTATCTTGTACTCATTATCTCAAATACATTTCCGACATTCCGCCTTTTTTCCGAGTTTTTCGGTATGAAGTGGCGTGGGCGTGGCACGAGCAAACGTGAATATTCTTTTGAGCAACGAAATCCTGTTGGTCACTCCGATTAGCTACGGTAATTTTGGTTGAGCTCGTAAAAAAAACATCCTTTTTTTGCCGATTGCGACTCATATTTCGTCCCAAAGTTCGTACATTGAAGGTTTTTCCTCCGATTTCCCAAAGGCGCCTTATTTCTTAGAGTTTTACCCGAAAATCCTCAAACAAAAGGGGTGGTTTTATGGAAGTTATGATTGCCACACTGAGGCGCAACGCCGACCGGGAAACGACCTACAACAACAACGCAGACTTGATTGTCAAGGAAATAACAAATAAAAAATAATGAAAAGTGGACAAAAAAAAATCATTTTTTGTGTTGCTTCTATATTTGACCCCAGGACGCCAAAACGTCGAGGCTTCGTTTTGTTTATTTTCTTTTTGTCGTCAGTCCGTCACTTATTGCTCTCGCGAACACTGTCTGTAGGCAAACATTGATAAGCAGAAAGCATGACAGGAAACAAACTAAAAGCTGGATAACCTCTCAAAATCCCAACAAAGCGTCCCTCAACGCTGAGTGCCTTTCTGAACACAACCTACTTGAAGAAGGTGTGACCACTGCCATGGCTATTATAAAGGTTCTTTTTGTTATTCACTCACTCATATCCGTATCCCATGTTCATTTATAGTGAACGCCGCATATAGGGAATATGAATTGTAGTTAAAAGATGCGTTGGAGGTGCACCGCAGGACGTGATGTTCAGCGATGACACTATAGCTAAAGCGACCTTTTCATTTCTGTCGCAGAAATGTTTTCTAACATGTATCAGTGATATTGCCACGCGCGTTGCCGAGTGAGCGCGTGGTCGAATGGTTACCGCGCTTGGCTCTCGCGCGGAGCCTCCGGGTTTAATTTCGGGAGCGGACTCCTCTTTTGTTTATTCTTTAAACTTTACATTCTCGTAAGTTCGAGAACCTTGTCCTGTGATATACTCTGTTTCACCTTATGATGTACCGCAGGAAAGGCTACAAGCGCGAGCTCCTTGCTCTAGGGCACATCTCGGCGTCACAAGCTCTCGTGCGTTAAGAGTAGCTCCCAACGCTATGAGCTCGCGCTTCTAGCCTTGTCTGCGGTACAACATAAGGTGAAATGGAGTGTAGAGGAATACGTCTGTCAGACGGTAAAGTAA